TTCATGTCACCAAGAAGGGCTGGTGACATGAATTCTAATTCCGCATACGTATTGTTAATTTCTATTATATATTTTTAAGTGTTTCTATTTTAATTATTTTATTAAGTGTAATTTACTAACATAGTCCTCAGTTTTTGATTGTTACTAAGAAAGTGGATCAATGATCTCAAATAAATAATTATTATTATTATAAAGTGAACTGCAGTTGTGGGAGCTCGTATATCGGTCAGACTAAACGAACAATTGTCGATCGTATGAAAGAACACACCCGATAGCTATAGCACAACATCTCACACAGACTGACACTAACCACTGGATCGAGTTGCATAGCCCCCAGGTACTCTCGACAGAACGTCACTACATACCACGATTGGTACGAGAAGCCATCGAGATCACGAATTACAAAACATTTAACCGTGATGATGGTTTTAAACTGTCCAGTGCATGGAATCCGGTCCTTAGTGCGTGCATTAATAAAAACAAAAACACACCATCACCACCAAAAACACACCTCGAGTTCAGTTTCGCGTGTGGATACAGTGAGTGTGGTTTGTGTGAAAAAAGTGAGTGACAATGGTAACGCCACAACAAATCGCGATGAAGGTAGTCGTCGACAGCGCAAGAGGGTAGACAGATATGTCTGCTCTTAAAGCTGTCATCTGCCGTCGTCCAGTCAACCCGTGACCATGGAGCGTGCAACCGTTCCGAAATATCGGGAAAATAAAAAGAAGTCATACCGTGGTAAGAAACCTGATATTAGTGAGAATCATAAGTTGACAAGTCCAATGTGCCTATAATTACAAACCTTGAATTGATGATAGTGGGTATGGTACACAGCTCTTAAGAGACACTGCGCCCTAGCATGAAGATGGGCACTGGCAGGCGCACACAAGAGCTTCCTCGCCGCCTCCGCCCCTCCTTCAGCCCCAGAGGCCGCACCGCACGTCACCGGCGCACCTGCACCGAGCTCTAGAGCTTCCAACGCGGCACATGCTAAACGCTCAAGGGAACTTGGCTTCCATACGCCGCCACTTCCTTCGGATTCCTATATAAGTAAGCAATCATGTCAAGAGATGATCGTAAGTAAAATACAAAATTTTACAACAGCACTTGTATAACAAACACACATACACTCATTTATTTTCGTTATTATTATTAATTCATTATTATTATTTGCACTTTTGTTAATACACCCATTTGAAGACGGTATTTGTAAGTGTGCAAATAAAATTGTAATTTTATTTACAATTAAGCTTTAGTTTTTACTTAGCGACCATTTCGTATTTTTGATTCTATAACACGTATAGTTTTAGAAGTAATGAGTACTGCACACTTAGAAAACTACTTCAACTTAAGTTCACGCAACCGCCACCCTTATTAACTAAGTTAGTAACGATTAGTCACAGATACATGCCTGAGTTACCTTGCTAGACGATGGACATGCAGACGGATCTTCATTCTCTTCTGGCCATCCGAATTGCTCTTTATTTTTGCCGTAAACCTTTGAAAAAGAATAATTATAATTCAACAATCCAAGGGTATGAAGTCTTCGTTATTGTATCACACGTTACATATGTCTAGTCTCACCATTATATTTACGCATTATTCTGCACACGCGGCGACATACTTTACGCGTGTAATACACTTTAAATATTAGACAACATCACATACGTTGCTCCGACCTCAAAGTAACTAAACCATTTGTGTTACGGAAATCGGATACAATAACGACACCGGACCCGAGAAATGTAGAAAAATTAGTTTCTACATTGAACCGGCCGGGGATCGAACCCGGGGTCCCAGAGATGGCGGCACCATGAAAACCGATGTGTAAACCACTCGACCACGGAAGTTGTCAAAATAATTTCAAACATATAATTAATTACTTAATTTAGTTTAGTATATGAGCAACTGACCCCCACATCCGTTGAAGGACGTCAACTTGTAACTTTATTACGATTAAATATACCTTTGACGTTGTCGCGAATTATTTCGCGATTTAGTCATTTTGTTTTATAATATCAGCATCAATAAATTTAGTCTATTATGATACCTAAGAGCAGGGAACAAGCCCGGCAGTTCAGGTGTCATAAATTCTGAAAGTGAGATAGCAGGCGTCTGCTGGGAGTGCACTGGTTGGTCTACAATACAGTTGGTAAGTTTGCACAATGTTTGTTACTAACTTAGATACAGTATTTATTGTCTAGACAGCCTGAAGATAGAGTTTGACGAAGCAGTAACAGAATTAGAATGTGACCCGCCACTTGTACTAATGGTATAAGGGGGCATGTAGCGGTAGCAGAGGAAGGGCTGTGTGTGGAGACCTATGGAGATCAGATCCCACTAGCTTAGATCCGGAGGATAGATACGAGTTTAAGGACCTATTAGGACAATGATAGTAGTCCTAAAAAGTAGAATGAAGTTGGAAGAAGTATACACAAAGAACGATACTCTATTACAGGCTGTTGTGATAGAAAACAATGTCACATATCGACTGTGAACTGGCAATCGGTAGTATCTCAATTTTGACAACTTAACAGGATGAAGAAAATAAATGTTAGCGTCATTTATATAGCATCTGGTTTATTAAATAAAAATACGTAGTTTTTATAACTGCCTCTGTGGCCAAACGGTTACCATGCCATGCTAAGGTCCCAGGTTCCATTCCTGGGCCGGGAGAAATATTTGTATGGCCTACATTTATTTCTCTCGTGAGTATGGGTGTAATTTGTGGTTGTTTATGTGTGTGTCCATGGTACCCGCAACACAGGGTTTCCCTAGTGCGGGGCTATGTTGAGTGTGTGCGTTGTTATTATTATTATTAGATATTTTTATTACACATGTATGTATGTATATATGTATGTATGTATGTATGTATGTATGTATGTATGTATGTATGTAT